GAACTGACCTTAAGGACATGACGACTGATCTCCAGGACAGTGGCTCCCTGGGCCCGCACTCTTTTACATGAATTTATCAGTTAACGTGAGATCTGAAGTCCATCTTGCCTGCTCAATAGTACGTTTCCAATACTTACACGACCAGGGGACACTGCCGACCACACACGTTTGAAGGAAACTCTTTCTGAGAGTGCACAGAGCAGGTGAGGGGACGCGCACTGCTTGGTGAGCTGTGTGTCTTCAGTTCCTCCTGTTGCCTGGAAAACGATGGGTGTGCGGCGAGCATTCCTGAGTGAACAGATGCCCTGGACACGGGTGGCCGGAGCTGCTGCCTGTAGGCCGGCCCTTGTGTTGAAGCCAGGTTTCAGGTCTTCCGCAGCATTTCCTTAGACTCAAACCCACCCGTATTTGAATGGAGCCTAAAACGCCATCCTCAACCAGCTTCCTTCAAGGACCATGACCCTGGTTCAGCTAAGCAGATTCCTAGAACTTGTCACATCCCCGAGATGTTCCCCAGCTTGTGTAGTGTCCCTTCGTCTCTTTCCAATGTCATCTCTCCAACTCTCCTGCTCTTAGCCCCTCCCCCCTATCCGGGCAACCTGACTTTATCCCTGAAGCGCACCAAGCAGCCTTGGTCACTGGGGACACTATCTGAGGGGATCCCGGGTCAAGCCCTTGCTCCTACACAGAGGCCTTGCCTGTGGCTGCTGTAGTAGGGCCAGTGAGTGCTGGGGTGCAAGGGCCACCCGAGGGGAAGCTCGGGCTCTTCCTGATGCAGCCTGGACCAGCAAAACGTGATTTTCAAAGCTCAGCACCCGTACGCACATTGAGGGGACTCAGCCATGACACAAACCTGTCCCCACAAAAACTTTCAGGTAACCAAGCTGCAGCCCCAGGGCTTGGGGATGCCGGCGACCCGTGCTCCCTGTTCCCAGTGATATCAGCCCCCTGGTTTCTTAGGTGGGTGAGAACCAGACGTAAACCTGAGTCACAGGGACCCGGAAGCTGGTCTGGTGTCGTTGCGATCTGTAAATTATTTCATTGCCATGTTCTTTGGCAACTCCTGCTGGGTACGCAGAGTAGCTGTGCCATGTCAACCTATCGGTGAAGGCGGCGTCAGCCACAGCACCGCTCCTTAGAGAGAAGGCCTCATCAATGGCTGACCGCTTCCAGCAGCCAGGGCCTCTGTCCTTTCTGTTCCAGATCTATGGGCTTTTTGTATATCACCTCAGAGTCTCTGCTACTCACAAACAACAGGAAAGGCCCAATACAAGGCATTGCTGCCAACCATGCTTCTTCTTTCGGTAAAGACTGTGTCTCACTGTGCAGCCTTGGCTGGCCTGGAACTCACAGACCAGGCTGACTTCAGACTCAGAGACCCACTCGCCTTTGGGATCAAAGGCGCACACTACCAAGACCAGCCACTGTCCCTTCAGTTTTCCCGGTTTCTTTCACTTTGATTTACATTGTTAGATTCATGGAATCCCGGGAAGTTGAGAACAATTTGACCCCCAGAACAGAGACCTGTGGCGGTGGGAGATTCTCTGAGTGAAAAAAATGCATCAGCTGAGCATTCCTTGATGCCTTGAGCATTGATACATATACACACAATAATAAAGTTTTAAAAATTAAAAAAAAAATATAAAAACAAAAGCACTGGAAGTAACCAGAACTCAAATGCTCAAACATTATGTGTCAGAGAATGAGGATACTGGCAGGCTAACTAAAAAAAAAAAAAAAAAAAAAAATGAACTAAATCAACCTCCCTGGGAAAAGTTCTAGGCCAGTGGTTCTCAACCTGTGGGTCGCAACCACTTTGGCAACCCTCTATCGCCAAAAATACTTATGATTCATAACGGTAGCAAAACTACAGTTCTGAAGTAGCAATGAAAATAATTTTATGGCTGGAGATCACCACAGCCTGAGGAACTGCCTTGAAGGGCTGCAGCCTGAGGAAGGTTGAGAACCACTGGCTTAGACCAGCCTTGGATAGTTATGGACTGCCCACACACAAAGCCGTCTTTCCAGCCCCTCCTCCACCCTTTCAGCCTGTTAGATGGTGCTGATTTCACTCCATGTTTTCCACTGAGCTGCCTGCTGGCCTCTCGGCGTTTAAGGAAAAAGGGCAGGCTAGGAGGTCTTCAACCATCTGTTAGAGTTGTGTGTGTTGTAATTCACCAGAAGAGGAAAGTCAGTCCCCTGCTCTGTGGCTCCCGGCTCTGACCAGGAGCCGAGGGGGCCAGAGGGTCCTGCCACAGTTCCTACCTCTTCCTTCCCAGTCCTGTGCCTCACTGGAATTTTCTAGGTGTTGGTGGTTCTGCCTGGGAAGCAATGACCCTCCTCCAGCTCAGCCTGCAGGACAGAGAATCGTGCTCTGTGCATTTTACACTGATCTATTCACTTTGTAACGTGAGTGTTCTCTTGGAACTGGACGCCATTGCATTTGTGATTTCTGCTTGGAGTCCAAAAGTTATCCAGTGACAGAGTTCCTGCTGTTGGCCGTCACCATGGTGAGAACACAGTGCCGAGGGTACCATGTCCATATAAGGCTGAGTTAGCTGAGCACAGTCTGCAGGGAGGCTGTGTGGCGGCTACAGTAGCACCGTGGGGAAAATATATGGTAATGACCTCAGGGGAAGCTGTGGGAAAGAACACGCCATGCGCAGGCTTTCTGGACGGCAGACTCCGCCCCACCGCTATTTTTACAATTACATTATTTAAGAAAAAATATTACTGAAGTAAAAGCAGTTCAGAAGTGCTCTCTGCAGAAGCATGTCTGGGTGGAAACGTTACAGGGGTCCTGAATGCCTATGCCTGGCCTGTAACATGGAAACAAACTCTAAGTCTTCACTGTTGCGTGGGGTGAGCACACATGGTTGGCCCGGGAAGGAAATATCTTTGGTCAAGTGCCCAGTGACATCTTCAGGAGTGCACACGATATCATTAGCAGTCCCCTGTCAATGCTGTCTTACCCTGCACTGCATAGTGACACGCTTGGGCCAGCATCTTGTGTGCTGACTGAACCTGCATCCTTAAGGTAGCTTTCTGTCCCCATACAGGTTCAAGGATGAGGTAGAATCAAGCATGGGAAGGTACCGTGTGACTGGCCCCTTGAGCTTGGATGATGCCAAGGGGAAGCCCATGGTGGGAGTCGCTTCCTCTGCCATGACAATCTGCCATCAGAGAGAAGACGGCCATAGCAGGATAAGCTCTGATGCCCAGACTGGTCAAGTGAAGGGAAGAGTCAGCTTATCACTCTATGTGGCCACAGCAAACCAGACCAGGGTGCTTACTTAGTGAGGGATGCTGGGAAATGATGAGCCTCATGGGGTGTGGACTCCCTCCATTACAGACAGGCAGGGACCCCTGGCAGCTCCTTCCCAGAACCTCTGAGAAGGGCCTGTGTGGAAGGCAAGGGCCATGTGGACAGCGGTCCCTGTTCCAACAGTACTCATTGACTCAGGGAGAAACAAATCCTCACAGAGGCTCCATGCAACCTTCTGTCTAACCCATCTCCCTTGCTGGGTTCTGGATATCTCGGCCCAGCACTGACTGATCTGCTTTGCATCCATAGAAGGCTGAGCCAGCCCCATACTCAGCTCTGCCCCAGTGAAAACACTACCTTCTCTAAAAATATAAAACATGGATGAATTACATTTTACAAGATTTGAAGAATAGTTAATAGTCTGGGCTACATTAATTATTTTAAAAAGTCATCACGTGGTAAACATGTCTGAAAACAGAGCAGAAGCAAACTTTTGTTTTTGGTCTATAATATACCAAAATGTCCAAAGCTGAGGTTACTAATTTAAACATTTATGGTTCACACAATAGTAAATGTGTGTGGTTCCTGCAGGACAGACGGGGAGGGGGGGGAGTGAGGTTGGGAGGGGGGCTGGTTGGGAATAGGGATGGGAAGTGTGGGTGAGCTAGGGCAGTGAGGGGCGAGTGTGGTCCCAGCACATTCTGAACAAGCATGATATTACCAAAAAACACACTCTGCCTAATGAAGAGTAATATACACATAAACCTTAAAAAAGGAGCATCAGTGTATCATTGTGTGTACCCGGAAGTCTGGCTTCCTGGCAAGATGGCTCAGCAGTAAAGACCATGTGTTGCTCTTATAGAGGACACAGGGGTCAGACCCAGCGCTCACTCGGTGGCTCACAACTGCCTGTAACCCCAGTTCTGGGGGCGGGGAGGCTTGTTGCCCTCTTCTGGCCTCTGTGAGCATGGCAGTGTACATACATATATGCGTGTCAACATTCACACACATAAAACAAACAAAAATTTAAAAACGAAATGCCGGTTTTAAAGGCAACAGAGCAAAAGCGACCGCCTACAGACTGAAGGAACGCGTTAAACCCATGGCCACAGCACTCACTCGGGTGAACTTCTCTTCGTCCAGGAAGCGGCCTTCAGGAAGCACACACTCAGGGCACAAGCAACTTCACCCTCAGGATTCCTGTCCTCGGTGCCATTCCCAAAGCCCCGTTTGCTCACCCACACGGCGTCACTGGGCAACCACACTTTTCCTCATATAATGTATCTTAATGAAATCACGGCCGACGTGGAACATCAGTCTAGAACATCTCTGAGTCAACACACACACACACTTAATCTTAGAAAACACCCTTCTGCCTGCACTGCTCACCACGGTTACACACACTGTTGCAAGTGACCTGCTGACTCCAGACACGGGAGGACGAGCATCAGTCACTGGCTGTGTAATATGAGGAGACTGAGTATTCTCAGGGTTTGGTAGCCAGGGGTCTCTGGAGCCAAGCTCCCGCGGCTACCTAGGCACATCTGTGTTTGTGCGTATTCACCACCATAAGGAACAGGAAAGTGGTTGGAGTTACGTGGCTTATTTTTGACCCATTTTGTGACTTATTGCACAGTGAAAGGAAATCAGCTGTGTTGTGTCATAGTGAAGTGTGATTGAACTAGGCACTTTGAAACAGCATCAAGAAACATCATTTCACACTGCAATGACTTACCCGTGCTCCTTTCTCGGGGTAGCACTGGCAGCCCCCGCTGCAGTCTCTGCCTCCGCAGGGCACATCCAACTTCTTCACGCCCTGTAGGAACCAGACACAGACAGTTTACTTAGGTGCCATTGTATCCTGCTGCGAGTCCTTCTCACGCTAACGTCCAGCCACCACTCAACCCGTGCACAAGCCCATCTTAGGACAGATGTAGGTTCACAGAAAACGGCGCAGAAGGCACAGAGCCCCCCCCCTTCTCCCGTGTTGTCCCGAGCCCGGGCTGGTTCACTCCTGGCCACATCCCACACCACTGTGGCATGATACCCCCAACAGCACCGAAGATCAGGCGGGGCACATCATCAGCAAAGTCTGCCCCCTTTTTCTCGCCCAACCATCCATGCTCTTTGTGGTGAGGAGAAACTGAGGCATGAGCCTTTCCTAAGGGCTGGGCTGGCCGGCCCGGGTGGCTTCCTGAGTCTCCAGGGCCTGCGGTTGTTTTCTCCCTTCCTCTATCCCAGCACTTCGGATGAACGAAGGGGGAAGACTGCACGGCCTGAGGTCTGGACTTTCCCTCTCAGACTGTGCCCCCAGGACACAGGAAATGACAAGTACCCTGACTCCCTTTCTCTGCTGTGGTCCCCTGGTCCCGCATAGACGGGCTGGGGCAGCCCTTCCCTATGCTGCAGGAGACAGTTCAATTGCAGAGACTCGGCCTGCTCCATCCTGGCCGCAGTCTGATGCCATCCAACCTGGAGAGCCCAGATGTTGGCGGTTACCCCTAAGGGGCCCTGTAGGTGTGCACAGTGGGCACAGCTCTCTTCTGTAACCCAGTCAGCCAAGCTTTATGCAAGTGGGAGCCAGCTGGTGACATACCGCTCCAAAGTCAAAATGTTCCTAGCCACAGAACTGACATTTCCTTTTATGCTTATATATTTTGTGTGTGCATGTGTGTTGGGCTGGTGCGTGTTGGGAGGTCAGAGGGAGAGGTAAGTCAGTGCACGAGTCCATTGTGCTCCTGTGGGGATGCCGATGGTCCTGCCACGGGCCTCCACGGGCCCTGCAGAGCCTGGGGTTCAGCCACGTGCTGCACTGGGTGTGCCAGCCTCTGCACTGCCTGGCTGCAGCTCACGGGGGCACCTGCAAGCCCTCAGGCTCTCTCTGTGCAGACACAGCGGCCCCCACCGGCGCTCTCACCCCACAGCCCCACAGCTGGAGCCCAGATAATCATTCTCTACCTAATCTGCCGTCCGGTGAGTTTCAAAAAGCCCAACATTCTCAGATCTTTCCAGAAGCGATTCCCCCAGAGCTCCTTTGTGAGGTAATAAAATGGCAGGAGGTCTGTAGTGTAAAAGTTAACACCTATAAAAATCCTTTTAGGCCTTTAAAATGAGGATCTACGTTTTTTAATCCACGTTTCCTCCCTCTTTGGCACCTACCTACCTACACTTTGGCTTATCAAGGGCAGGTTTTGAAGATAAGAGTTCTAGAAATAAGGTACACGTTGAACTGTGGGCTTCCTAAAAGACCCTGGGCACTGAGGCATGAGCCTGGATGGGCCACTCTGATGTCTCATGACTTGCGACCATGACCTGACTAGACAGTAATCTTGGCAGTTATCCCTCATTTGCCAATATTTTCGCCAGTACTTGTTGGAAAAGTGTCAGGGAGTCTTTGGCTACAAAGGAAAAAACCTATGCTTCTGTTCTCCATGTGATGTTTCACATGCTAATTTCAAATTTGATCTCAGAGCCACTTGCCAAATCCCTGTATATGACTCAATGGTTGAAATAATCTTAAAGGATTAGAATTTATCAAACAGGCTCCCTCATTGGAAGGTGAGGGTAGTCCCAGGATTTAACTGTAGATATGAGCAGCAGCGGAGGGAGCACCAGTCTCCTGAGGTGAGGGCCAAACACAGGGAGGCGGCCCCGCAGACACCAGGCTGGTTCTGCCATGGCCTTTCCAGCCATCTCACCTGTCCTTCAGGGGTTCTCTTGAGAATTCCAGCATCTCCAAGAGCCCTCAGGATGCTGAGTGGAGGGTCGGGTCGCTAGGACGAACAGAAATATTGACACACTTGGGCAGGGCGAGTGCTCCAGACAGATGCTTAGAGACCGGATGTCTCTGGACTGAACCCCTGCATTCTCCCAACAGGATGTGGGACTCTGGAACATGCTCAAGATGTGAATGCCTTCCTGAGATTGTGGGTGAGGATGAAGGGGAACTTCCCCGTGGGCTCTGGGCCTGGAGACCCGTCCCTACCTCTGAGAGGAACGCTGTTAGCTCACGTGAGCCCTGGCACCCCACACGCAGTCTGATTTCCAAGTCCACTGCTCAGTGCTATTCAAAGTCAAATCACAATCCTAAGGATTGCAAGTTCTCCCCACCTGATTATCCTGGGGGCCTGTTTGCCACCACAATGATGGAGGCCACCCTGGAGCTTCCCCCTAGATAGCCTTAATGTCCTCTCCAAGCATTTTGCATTCCTCATTTTACAAAAGTCACAGGGCCCCAGGGGTACCTGGCCACAGGCAGCTGAGATGAAGTTCCTAGGGTGAGAGGCTCCCAAAGCCTCACCAGGTGAAGTTAAGCTGCTCACGTTCATTCAGCTGAGCTGGCCAGATTCTGCTTACTGGCTGTCCTCAACGCAGGGTGAAAAGGGCTCATGGCCCAAGGTGTTAGTTACACCGAGGATCCACAAAAGCGGGTTTCATCCCCTGAGAGGCCAGCCTCATGTGTTTGCATCTCCTCTGAGGTTACTCCTCTCTTGGGATTCTGGGACCAATAAGGAGCCTGTGTGTGGGCTTGTTGTCCTGTGAGGGAGCACCTGCTACCCCAACGGCAAATCATCTGGATGCTGCCAAGGTGGCTGGGACCAGTCACCAGCTTCTCTTGACAAGTTCACACACTCATAGACTTACACACTTACACACCTGTGCATGCTCATTCCTCACTCACACACCCCTGTGCAATTGCCAGCTCATATTCACACACTTATCCCTCACTCACACTCACGCTCACCATTCTCTCATCCTCCGCTAACTGCTTCCTTTGGACTATACGCTGTGCTAGGCTCTGCTGTAAAGCAGAGACATATTGGACACAATCCCTACCTTCACGGCACGTGAATAAACAGAGAAGATTGGTTAAGTAAACAGGCCAATGCCTAAGTCATCAGGGTTTAAACTCTGGCACATGTTTTGGGGAAGCAGCGGTGATGTGTCTAAATCTTTCACGACTCACTCTTGCCCAAGCGCTCTCCCTGTGGAGACTGCCTTGCCAGCATCAGTCGGTGGGCCTCACTTCCAAACTCAGCCAGGACTAGGGATGCCAACCATCAACTCCGTCCTGGAGAAACCACCCTAACTGTCCCATCACCTGTCCTGCCAGATGCTGCATCCTATCGAGAATACCGGCTCAGCAAAGAAGGCAGAAGACTGGCCGAGGCTGTCAGAGGTGGGCAGGGGACACTAACGCCCACTCGCCCATTCTGGACACATGCTGAATCCAGTAACGTGGAAGTAATGTTAAGCCCAGAGCACGAGATGGAGCTGCACGTGCATGAGGCTAGCTGCACCCACAGGAGTCATGAGTAGCAGTAAGTCCTGTGAGTGGTTCCCAGGAGCAGGGCTGTACAGGCAGCTGGGAGGAGAGCAGGGACTCCACAGCCTCAGAAAGCTGGGTAGCTTAGTGGCAAGATGCTGGGTAAGGTGGAGGAGGAGGGACCTGGAGGTGGCTTCATAGGTGAAATGGGGGGAGGGACAATAGAATAGAGGCAGGGACTGTCACTCAAATAGGTCACCTTTGAGTGACAGCTGTCCTCCCACTAGCCCTGATAGCCTAGGTGTAGAGGGAGTGTGGATCTAGAGCCAGTCAGGATCACAGACAAGACTGCCCACAGCCTGCTCCCTCAACCATTTCCAAGTCCAAGTTGCATGCAGACACTATGAAAAGAGGAGCTTAGAGGAACAGCTGATCAAGGGACAGGCCTGTCTATGGCCCTACCACCCTGAAATCACCCAATCTCCTCAAGAGCAGGTCCTTCATTGGAGCAGAAGAATCTCCCAGAGGGTCTGTGGGGTCCATGGCCAGGTGGACCATAGCCTATCCATCCCAGGAAATAAATGCCTCCTCAGGCCTCCCTCTGACCCTGACCTTGTTTCCTATGGGAACTCAGAGACTCAGCGCCTAGGTGTGAGAGGCTGGAATACAGAAATGAATGTCAGTTCCTTTCCTTCTCACCACTTCCTTTTAGGGTTCTTCTCTCTCTGCTGAGTTTTAGCCTACCCCGAACTGGTAGCCAGCACTGCTGCATGGTTGGAAATCACAGAATTTGGGGTGACCTGCTCCACTTAGTAGCAGGTAGCGAAGCAAAGGCCTCAGTGGCCTTTCGTGGAGGACCAGGATTGTGCTGCACTTGGCACAATGGACAGGCACCAGGCAGCATTTCTGTCTCACGACAACGTCACTTTATCGTGTTCATTCTGGATACCCCCACAGCACGGTGGATGCATGGTCTGGGTTCTTAACAAGCTGCCCGCCTCTGCAAGAGCAGAGGTCATAACACCTTGCAAGGAAAGCCAGGCTCCAGCTTCCTGACCAGCCTCCTTCCAGGCTCCCCTGGAGAAAGTCATGCCCCAGGCCGCTGGCCCTCTGGTTCTGCCATCTATAAATGGAATGTGGCAGGGTATGGCAGAGATCAGTGCTGGCAGCTGCAGGATTAAGAGCACATCCGGTCCCACAGGGAGCTGTCTCTGGCTCCCAGTCCAGCAGCCCGATGACAGTGACAAGACAGAGTATCACGTTGCCTTCACCAAGGACCATGTCCCACCAGACAGACAGGAAGACTTTCTTCCCTGTGCCCAGTCCAGAGAGCCATGAAAGCGACTCAGCACCAACCCTCCCAGAGACACCAGCACTTACATTCAGGACTTGGAAAACTGTCTCTGAATGATAACTTAGATACCACAAAATAAAAGTCACAAGGAATTCACAGCTCTTAAGACAATTTCTCTAGCTACTTGTGCAGACAAACCAGGTACAGGAAGAGTGTGAACTGACAGAAATGCACCCAGGTCCCTGCAGACGTGAGC